CCCCAAAACCCCAAAACCCCAAAACCCCAAAACCCCTATTTTTGAGCTGAAGGTTGAATCATTACTTCTTATAGTGATTTTCACAGAACTCATTGATTCTCAATCCTAACTCCTCAATTTTCTCTAGTGGGTGACAAAGAACAATCCTGAACATGTTCTTTGCGAAGAAGCAAGTCGACGGAAGCACAAATGCGTTCTGTTCGTTAAGCAGCTTCTTGCAGAAGTCAACGTCGTCTTCGATATCTTCGAATTCATCGTGCTCAATCAGCACCATCATGTACATGGCACCCTTCGATCTGACCGGCTTGACGCCTCTGATGCCGGTGAGGACTTCGCAAGCTTTGTCGGATGCTTCCTTGAGCTTTGCCTTGGTCTTTTCAAAGTAGCTTTCTGGAACCTACAACGATAAGTAACTAATCTTACATCTCTGAGGATCTTGACCAGAGCTTGCTGAACCAAGCTTGAGGGATGAAGCCAGATCATTGCGAGCTTCTGCATGTTGGCAAGGATGTTGTCGAAGTATCCGCCTCTGTTGTAGACGATGGCCCATCCAAGTCTCCAGCCAGGGACACAATATGTCTTTGAAATTGCTCCGAACGTGATCAACGGGATTTCCGTGTTTACATGAGCGAAGCTGTGGAAGGGTTTGCTGTCGTCGTAAGAAAATCCGTAATAAATTTCATCTGCAACAAGTGGGACCTGGTGTTTCTCTGCAAGAGCAATGATGTCTTCCATATGTTCCTTCGAAAACACTGACCCACAAGGATTGCTTGGGTTGACGACCAAGATAAACTTAGTCTTGTCATCAATTTGGCTTTCCACAGTGTCTAATTTGATGCTAAAGCAAGATTAGACGGAGAATCTTTATGAATTAAGGTGCGTCGGTTTAGCAATTGAGCTAAAGAAGATATTTCCAATGTCACATGTTTACTCTGAAATTTAAGCAAAGTTTACACAATGGGGTTCAGCCTTAAAGCTCATTAGACGAAACCTTGTTCTGATTGGAACAGTAATTACCTAAATTCGTCTTCAGGGTCGAGGTCATAATATCTAAGCTCCACTCCGAGATTCTGGGTGATGGGCAGGCACAGAGGGAACCCTGGTCTTGGAACCAACACATTGTCTCCTGGCTCACACATTGCTGAGAACACTGTGTACTGAGCTCCAGAGCATCCGAAGGTCAGCACGACATCGTCTTTATCAAAAGGAGCTTCTTCGGTAGAGTACTTATCGACTACAGCCTGTCTTGCATCTGGATGGCCAGAGCTATGTGTGTACCCGTTGTACTTCTCAGACTCAACAGCTTCGATGATGGCTTCCTTGGTTTCATCAGGCAATGGGTATCCATTGGCCTTGGTTGGCTCTCCGAGAGTAAAGTTGATCAAGTTCTTGTCGTGAGTCTCGGGGATCTTGAAGTCTTTCTCTAAAGTTGTTCTGATTGGATTGAGCACTTCAGATCTATACTAAATCAGTGACTATGCTTACCTAGCAGAAGCAACAGGCTTCTTGGTCCATTTTCCTGAATCCATTCTGATTTATATTTTATGAGTGATTCTCAATTTAGGAAAAGTATAATGGGGTTTTGGGGTTTTGGGGTTTTGGGGTTTTGGGG